ACCTATATGCGCACCTATAATCAAAGGGTTGAATATTTAAAATCATAAATAATATTCAACGTTAAAACTGGTACACAATTAAAAACATTTTATTTAGGCCTATCTATGGCCTTCAAAAAATTGACGACTCTATATGTTTCGATGTTACAACGTCATCCTCGTGTTTTTAATTGTGTACCAGTTTAACGTTGAATATTATTTATGATTTTAAATATCCAACCCTTTAATTATAGGCGCGCATATAGGTAGTATTTGAGGTGTGTTAATTTGTTTATAAATAAACTTTAAGCCTATATAACCACCTGTCTTACCTGAGTCGTATTAATACAATTGGTAATAATATCTGTAGTTAGTATAACATCTCCACATAATAAAATATTTGCGTAATTTTTTTCTTACCTCTTCGGCCAAAAACAACAACAAAATTTACAGAAGCTGTCCTCTGACCCCCACTACACAACTGAATATCATAGTATTTTGTATAATAAAAAACCACGATTGTTTAGTGTCATACAAATTTAACGTTGTACCGAACAGCCCTTGGTGTCACGTCTCGTGCACAGCACGTGGGCAAGTTTTATATTTAATTGTACATAATATTTTAAAACCTTAGCAAAGTTTACTCTGAAAAATAAAAATACGTGTAGCGATACTTACTACATTTAATAGTTCATTCATAAACCTTAAGAACGCAGAATTATATCTTACAGTTGTATTCGTTGTATAGATTTAAAAGTTTTAATTCTGGCACCACCGTTCTACCATCGAGTCCTGTCATTACTATCGGTTTGAGAATATGAAAAATGACATATAAAATTGTTTGAAAATCTGGTGTTCAAAGCAACTATATAAATAAATCTGCTGGTTATATGTCTTTCTCTGTCTTCCTTTTTTTATTTGTAATATATTTTAAATCACAAGCATGAACGTAGCAACTTATAAGATTTTATTACTTTTATAATGTTTTGATTTCTTCTTCTAGAGTTTTTTATTACTTTTATAGTGTTTTGATTTCTTCTTCTAGAGTTTTTTATTACTTTTATAGTGTTTTTCATTTAGAGTTTTTTATTTACTAACTTCTACCAAACCACAACTTTTAATTGGTGGTGTTTCAATAAATTACGTTTCAGTCTCTTTACATACGATAGTCAACATTTGCTAGTGATCAAGTTTTTACATAATAGGTACACTAATGTTAGTAAAGGTCAGTTATAAAAAAAGACATAGCTTGGAAGTCCATTATCTGGACATTGTCTGCCAAGTGCAAACTTTCTGCCTTGGTGACTTTGATTGGATTCTGGCTTTGTTTTCCGACCATACCCCCCAAATTGAAAGTTCATACAGTGAAATTGTGAGGTCCTTAATTTGAGATCACCGATCATTGTATGCTGAAATTGGTCTGATTGAGATTATGCAGTGCAGAAATGCATTGTTTGGTCAAAGACACCATCTTTCCCCTGCAGAACTTAACAGGGGTGTTGGGATACTGCATGGAGGCATGACTCAACGTAACAGGGCTGTTGGGATGTTCCATGGAGACATGACTCAACGTAACAGGGGTGTTGGGATGTTACATGGAGGCATGACTCAACGTAACAGGGCTGTTGGGATGTTCCATGGAGACATGACTCAACGTAACAGGGCTGTTGGGATGCTGCAGGGAGACATGACTCAACGTAACAGGGCTGTTGGGATGCTGCAGGGAGACATGACTCAACGTAACAGGG